AGAACCGATCCCAAGGTTCCAAAATTTCTTATGTTTAAATTTGCCTCCTTCATGTACTTCTAGCCCTAATGTGAGCACTAACGGATGGGCTTGCTACTGATGCAAAGAAAAAGGTGAAAGTGCCAGTATAAAAACAAGATCGAGAATTATTTTATGGTTCGGCAGCTTTCCAATCACATTAAAATTCTGTAATTTCGTCACCTCGGTAAACTTCGTTCCTGTCGCGAAGCATTTCAAGACCGCATTTATTAGGGTCAAAAGAGTTTGATCGAAGAGAGTAATTGGAAATCTACTGAGAGAATCGGTTCATTGCTTTACAAACATTAATTTTGTTTAGGATTAATTTTAAGTCACAAATTTCATTTAAATAAAGTAGGGTCTACCTTTTGTCTTTAGGATTTGGCACTCACTTGCTTCAGTCAATGCACGAATTTTCTGGTCAACTTCCACCAACGCCATCAATGCAACCACCTGCTCCACCTCCTCCACCGCCAATCCTACCAACATCTACACCATTGCCATCGTCGGTGGTAACAACCTATAGTTTCTCCAATTTGCCCCACCATCAACATGGGTCAAACACAACGGCGACAACTCAAATATCGTCATCCAGTAAATCAGCCACATCGACTACCAAGGCGCATGACAGCAAGCAAGTTGTTGCCAATGCTGCCACCAACACCAATACCTCCACTGCTTCTAGACGTCTAATAACCGGCAGTAAACGCTCGAGACGACAGAGAACTCACTTCACGAGTCAACAACTGCACGAATTAGAGACTACATTCATGAGAAATCGATATCCCGACATGAATATGCGCGAGGAACTGGCTGCGTGGACGGACTTAACTGAAGGCAGGGTTCGAGTAAGTGTTGCTCGTGACATTTGGTAGGCACACCTTGCCGCTCACCCGTTTCATGGGATTCAAAACGCTTGCTTAACTTTCTCCATGAGATGCATTGCGAACCGAGAGCCATGCAAGCAGAGCCACCTCAAAGTATGTGACTCGTCACATTATACCTTCTGTTATACACATGTCGGGACTAAGGAAAAGTACATCGAAGCATACAGAACTTCGAGACATGTTGTGCTGCATAGATCAGTGGGTTCTACAGCCTCTTGCAGTTACCTACTCTCTACCAAAAGCAGCTTTTGGAGTATCGCAAATGACTAGTCGACTTTCAGTGCGATCAAGTAGTCAGACTGCCAGGTTAAATGCGCTTTACAGCGAATAAAGGACCAGTTTGTTGCGAGGGCAGGTTTAGTGGCATGAAAGGGCTTAGCAACTCATCAGTAGCAACTGTTCGATTCGAAAATGAAAGGTTCGATTGTGAAACATTTTCAACCACCTAATAAAATACACATGTGGGAATTACGTGCTGCTCAGTATTCCATTAACAAAAGTAAAAACATACGGTTTTAGCAATGAGGCACCCTATCAAGAGGAACAGCAAAATATCAAAGAAGACTCTAAAACCTTCCAATTCTGTTTGTATGAAAAACACTACAAACATCATCGTTAAGACATTCACTTACGAAATGGTTGAAGAGTAACAATTTAACATGTAATGAGAAATTTAAGGTAAAATCCAATGGATTAAACATGTAAAAAAATCTTTAATGCACAAAAAGTAGATTTTGCGATTGCTCTCGTATTTTACCAACAGCATGAAAGTTTCATGCTGTTGTGTCTTTCTTCTCAGGTCTGGTTCAAAAATCGTCGCGCAAAGTGGCGTAAACGCGAGCGTCACTTAGAGGCTTTGCGAACTAACTTTAGCCATCCTCATCACAATCACACCAATCCACATCAAAACCCATTTGCTCCTCTTCTTCTCACCTCATCTCAAAGCCACCTTTTACCTCCTCACCAGCCGCCACCCGCACCACCACTTAATCAACCACATCAACATGCCAACATCTCTGCTACCGCAGCAGCAGCTGTTGCCATGGTAGCGTGGAGACAAACAACGAAACCTCAAACATCAGCAGGGCTTATTTGGCCTCCTGTGCGACCGGAAGAAGTGGAGGGTCCCTTACAGGCGTCTGTTCCACCTCCGCTAACCACACTACCACCATCGTATCCACTGTTTGCGTCAGATTCAGCTGAGAATATTGGGACAAAGTGGAAGGTCGATGAGGCTGGCAGCGATAGCGATGATGAGGAAGAGGTGGAGGACGATGAACAGGAGGAAGAGGAAGGGAGGGAAGAGGAGGAGGTAGTCTCAAGGTTCCTACATGAGCAGAATTTCCCACCGCAACCAGCTCCTCAACTGGCTCGGTCACTACAACAACACCAACACCATAACAACTCCGCCTTCTATGACTTCCAGCAACACACAAACCATCACCAACTTGACCACCAGACATTCCAGCAACAGATTCAACGTGAAGGCTTATTTGGGCGACTTCCAACAACGGATGAGTTGCAGGAAATTAGTGGACTTCAATTTGGGCAATCAGACGGAAATTTACTTTCTTGAAATGTTTCCTTTTTTATCTCGAAAAGGACAATGGACTTGAAGGTCCAGATAACAGTTTTAGTGCTGTTATTAAATACGGACCGCATCCGTTACTTAAGTTAAGTAAATAGTATACAGACGAAAGGAAAGCGGTAATAAATGCAAATATTTCAATAGCTTAAACTATCAAAAGACTCAAAGACTAGAAATAAGTTCCAGGCTAGTCCAGAAACTGATAAAGGTGAGAAACTCGGCCTCTCGGTGAATTGTTGCGGAGACATCCAAATGTTCGCCTGTCGGTTGTACCGCAGAGCGTAAAGTCACTCCGAACGACAGTCCCGTTGACTAAAAGTAGTGCTTTAGCAGGTGCACCGTAACTATGTCGAGTCGGTTTCCAACTCTTAAGATCACGCCGAGATGTCAGCGCTTAGGTGACTGACCTGCGCCTACAATGACTTGGAAATGGATGTCGCCGATTGTGAGTCAAAGCTTCCCCACTGTTCTAAAATTGCGTACTTTTAAAAGACAAGACACTTCACCTTCTTAAAAACCAGACTTAGGCTGCTTATGATCAAATGCGGTGAAGATCCGTCGATTTAAACACTTGAAACAAATACATGAGGGGGAAGGGGACTTAAGAGGACAATCAGAAGGACTCACTCTTTGTCATGACAACCCCATCTACCATCACGTCTTTTCTACCTCTT